CCTCTGCATTACTAAGAAGACTATCAAGGAAGAACAGAAGGCTTCTTACCTCACCACACAATTAATAATGAGCACAAAAAAAGACTATAAGATCGAGACTGAACACTTTCAAAGATGGAAAGTAAGACAAAAGCGGAAAACTGTTTATTCCTTTCACTTCATTGACTAAATTTATTACAAAATATCGTTTCTAGACACATTCCAGAATTATCATTATGTACCATCTCTAGTATCAAATTTGATGAAACTATTATGTCAAGGTATGAATTAAAATGTTTAGCAGTCATATCTAATCTTTTCTTGCACATAGTATTCAATTTCGTGTTGGAAAAATACTCATCTTGTATAACATACAACTAAATCAATTGATCACACCATATCTAGTTTCTCAATCCCATGAAAGTCTATAACATTTCAGGTGATTCATAATCGATCTGATTTTCAAAATCCTATATCGAAATCTTTCATATACTCTAGTCGCTATGTTTGATTACTTTGTGCTCGAATAACTAATTCCGAAATTTCTAGAGATTCCGCAGAATATTCGGTGTCATGACCTTTCTTTTGGTCAAATTATAAAAGTGTCTGACCATCTTTCTTTCATCTGTTTATATCATCATGTGATGTCAGTATATATAAATACATTTTTTTCTCTGTCCCTTTGTTGATACATACGAATGATATGGACGTCTTGTTTTCTTTTGCAATTTCAGTGTTTTTAGTTTCTTATTTTTTCTGATCATCGTTCAAAATGAGAAAAATAAAAGATTTTAACCAAAAAATAAATAAATAAAAATTATACACATTTTCGATCAGAATATTCTTTTTATTCATTCTCAATTTTATCAAACTAACTTATCTTACTCATCACTCTATACAAAAATATTTTTCAACTTGTTTTCTAGCACTTTTTTATTATGAATATCAAATTATATTCAAATTAAAAGCTATTTCTTTAAATGAAACTTTCTTTTCAATTTAACAAATTATAACAATTCATTTTTCTCAACTTAGTTTTTGTTTACTTTTTTTTTGGACTTTACTACATATCTTTGTACTTACCACAGGAATATATTGCTAAAAAAAACTTTTGAATTCGACTGTTTCCACGATCCGTGACAAATATATTTCCGTAACTATCGAAACTAAGAGACGTTGGCTTTGATAATTGATTGGGTGCTGAACCTTTTCCATAACACCCAACTACACATCGAAAGCCATTTTCTCCAGATCCAATTATACGATGATTATCTTTATCTACAATGAATAGATTACCATCACCATCAAGCACGATTCCACTTGGACACGAAAGTGTAATTGTTGATGGTGCTCCATTTCCAGCTACTGTTTTTCCATTTAATTCTCTGACTTGAAAACATTGAATTCTGTTGTTGACACAATCTGCTACATACAAGTTGAGTTTAGTATCAACAAAGATTCCTTGAGGACTAGAAAGCATATTTGATGCTGATCCAGCAGATCCATTGCCTGCAGCAATTGTTGTCACATTTGAAATACTGTTTAGTGATATTTTGATGACTTGATGAAGAGATTGAAGAGAACAATGAAGAGTATTGCTGATATCAACAAAGAGACTGAAACAAGGACTACGGACATACATTGCTGGAATACTATCTGTAGCATTTTGTGTCCACATGTCCACTCGACCATTTTTACCGTTGCCAACATATATATCACCATTAATTGTGACAAAGAGACTCACTGGAGAAGACAAACCATTAGAGATGATTGTTGTCGGAATGATACTTCCTTCGAACCACACTCTAACTTCATGAAGATTAGTAGCGGCCACATAAACAGTATTATTGATATTGATGAAAACATTCCAAGGAAATGAGCCAACTGTATTGATATCTGCAAATGTAATGGCATTTGGATTCCACGACACATGTGAAGAGAATTTTGGTTGATTGTAAGAAAGAACTAGAAATGAAGAAGAGCATTAAGATTGACATTGAAGAAAAAATGTAAAAATAAAAGTTTGAAACTGTAATAAATAATTGATTTAGTTTTAATATTTATAGCATATAACTACAATATAACTGAAGATCTATTTTTATGTTATTTTCATCTTAAATATAAGATGAAAATATGAAATCATATTGAATAGAATTGAAATTATTATTATGATAACAATTTTATGTAAATAAGTGTTCAGTAAAAAGAGATAAAAATGATTTTTTTGTTTTTATAACTTGACATTGTTTATTTATATTTGGATGAGTAATAAATTGATTTGATTATGAATCTATCATTGAATTATTGGATGGATGGAACATAGAGAAAATTGTTGATTTTATCTAAATATGTTTTAAAATATAGTAAAAAATTCTATTCATTTTTCACTAGATTTAATCTTTGTACAATCTGACATAAAATTATAGAATAACGAACGATTCAATTTTTTTTTAATTAGATATTCTATGAAATATTTAAATGCTTCAATAAGAACTGAAATTTATTATGCATAATTCTTTCTTTTTGTTTTAATCAGAATAGATTAGGTGTGACAAATGAACAAATAATTCTAAAGATTTTAATATTACCTTGATCTTTAAATAACTTTTATTCTTAAAATATTTATTTTATTTTGCTCTAATTTTAAAAAAGAAGACAAAAAAAGCTTTGTTTTAGATTAAAAATATCTTGTTTATTGTTAAGAATCGTTTCTATCAAAAAAAAACAAAAAACGTTGAACGTCTCATTAATATAATTATAAGTCTTTACCTGTACTTGATACTTTATTGATAATGATGAAAATAATTACCAGATATTTATTCACATAATTATGTAATAACATCTTTAACTAAATTCAATTATTTCTTTTCTATAAAATTTTTATTTTTGATGATTGATGATAGAAATAAAATATTAGAAATTGTAAAGAAAATATTTAATTCTTTTTTCTTGTTCGATGAAGATAATGATCATCTAGGATAAATGACGTGATAGGGAGCATATTTTTTTTTTATCTTTACATATGATTTTTTACTTTTTCAACATGCTTTTTTTTTTCTCTATTTTGATTTAAATGAGTTTTGCTCAGAACATTTTTTTCTGTCAATAAATGATGAACTAATGAAAAAAATCAAATAGAAAAATTAATCTTCAAAATCTGATTAATATTTAATAAGAACACCGTGAAGATGAATCGGTTATCATTAAACCAATACATATATGTTGAATGTTATCGAAATTAATTGACTATTGAAGTAAAATGGTGAGAATGAGAAAAATAATTATTCGTCAAAAATGACATAAGGAATGAAACGTGTTTTACGAAGAACAGATCTATTTCATGAGAACAATTTCATAGAGTATCAATTACATTAGTCAATAAAGTATTGATGTGAATGTGTTAAAATAGTATTATTCATTGCATGTGCTGATTTTAGTCTTGATAAAAACTTCTATGTTTCTAATATCATTGTTAGCTCGTTCATGAGCTTACGTTTATTTCAACTTTTATATAT